CTTATTTTTTTTTTTTTTTTTTTTTTTTTTTTTTTTTTTTTTTTTTTTTTCACATTATTCTTTTTCATGTATTCTTTTTCAGATTAGCTATGTCGATTGCGGAAATTAATGATAAATATAGTTTCAAAGAATGTAATAAGAAAGAAGAGTTAGAAATTGGCAAACCGTACAAAATCATTAATATTAGTAAAATGGATACAAAATTTGGGCCTTCAATTTTGGTTGCATTGGAAGATGGAAAGTCCATTTTTCTACCCAAGAGATATGATTTTACTCAAGAGGAAATTAAAAAATTGACTAATGGTTGCTCCGCCCTAATTTACAGAGGTGAAAAAAATGTTGGGAAACCTTTACCAGCTGCAGTTTTCGAATTTGCAGAATGGACTATGTGAGTGTTTTTTATGTAAGTAAATTTAACCTAACTGCGAAAAAATTATACTTACCACTTTTTTGATTTTTAGAACCAGTCATGAAATTTATCCAACGGATCTATACACAGCCTTTCCAGATCATACACATTTTTGTTATACTTGTCAAAAATGTTTTTGCTTTTGCGAAAATTCAATTAAAAAGCATACCTACATTAGAAGAAACGAACATAATCTACTCTGTCATGAACAAATGTTCGAGTCACCATAGAATTACTGTGTTTTATTTTCTTTGCGTTTAAATAAAATTTTACCGAAAAATTGTTGTTTCATTGAACTTCATCACCTGAGCCTGGGAACTTTGGCAACTGAACCTATACAGGTATCCGGACCTAGATGGCGCCTCATACGGCAGGTAGTGAGTGTACAATAGCCCCCGGGGGTATTATAGGCAACTGAACCTATAGATGGCGCATGCAGGCATGCTATAAGCTCCTCCGGAGGACGGAGGTTGCAGAACCGGCCATTTATATCTACTTAGTTTAATTCAAGTTGATTTATTTCTACAAAATGTACAACTTTCCGTTTTTAAAATCTCCTGTAAATTTTTTTTACACTTCATACAAGAAAAATCAGTATTAAGCGTCTGTTTACTCTTCAGTTTTTCATGTTTAGACACTGTCGCAAGACGATCCAAGGGATACACTGTTCTTCCACATTCTAAGCAAAGCCTTACTAAACCTTCTAGATATTCTTCTTCATAGAACACTCCACCCTCTTCGATATTTGAACATTGTTCAGGAAAATAATTTTCGTAAGTCGTGATAAATATTTTTATGAAATTTTTCAAACGGCATTGTACCTTAAAAATGAAAAAATAAATTATTGAAAATAAATTATTAAAAAAATGGTACCTTATTATAGAACATTTTAGATAGTTATTAAAATCATTTATCACTATCACTAGCACTAAATTTCTCAAACCGTCTCCTCTCTTCCTCTCTAAACTTTTTTTTGAAACTTTTGGATTTTTTGGGTGGAATACTCCTTAAAATTGGATTGGCTAATACATACTCCGTTGGATCATAAGTCGGTTCGTTTGTATCCCAGTCGAGCCAATCTTCCTTAGGAAGTGGAAGAGGTAATTCTACTACTTTTGGCGACTGCTGAAGTTTAGGAGAAGTAGAAGGAGGTTGAGAAACACTATTCAATTTACAAAAACACTAAAACGAAAAAAATATTTTCCACCTCTCCAACCATTTATTGTTCAAAATCAGTTATCACTATCACTAAATTTCCCAAACCGTCTCTTCTCTTCCCCTCTAAACTTTTTTTTGAAACTGTACGTTTGTATCTCAGTCGAACCAATCCTCCTGAGTTCGGTGGTTCCTGTTGGTTAGGAGAAGTAGAAGGAGGTTGAGAAAATCTAGTTACTGCACAATAACACTAAAACGAAAAAATATTTTCAACCTTCCTACTATTTATTGGTTGAAAAATGAAATACAATTGAATTTACCTGGTCAAAATCTGTTTGAGTACTTTTATCCATTTTTAAATTTCACGAAAATTATTCAGACGGTGTATTACAAAGCCGGTAAGGTAAGTTGGAAACTTGGATAATTTTTGAATCTCTTATTCGTATTTATAAGAAAGCAAAGTCGCTTCACATTTTGAATAACGAGGAAACGTGATTCACTTTTCAATTAATTATTTTCAATTGATGATAAATGATACACGAAAATGCTATTAAACGATACATAGAGATCCTGGTTAGAAAAATTTAAAAAAATATATAATTAAGTACTTTGTAATTTGTAATTACGAAACGTGACACAAGATCACGATTTTGTTAATCAATGCAAATTGACGGTATTGTTTCAGTGCGTGTAGTAGGTATGAGTTTGTATAAATAGGGTTTCTTGGAGTTAAAAACACAAGTTCTGTTTTCTGCGAGCAGCGGTGCGTTTGTGGAAAAAAAAAAATAGACAGGTAGACATTTTTTATTATTATTATTCTTATTTTTTTTTTTTTTTTTTTTTTTTTTTTTTTTTTTTTTTTTTTTTTCACATTATTCTTTTTCATGTATTCTTTTTCAGATTAGCTATGTCGATTGCGGAAATTAATGATAAATATAGTTTCAAAGAATGTAATAAGAAAGAAGAGTTAGAAATTGGCAAACCGTACAAAATCATTAATATTAGTAAAATGGATACAAAATTTGGGCCTTCAATTTTGGTTGCATTGGAAGATGGAAAGTCCATTTTTCTACCCAAGAGATATGATTTTACTCAAGAGGAAATTAAAAAATTGACTAATGGTTGCTCCGCCCTAATTTACAGAGGTGAAAAAAATGTTGGGAAACCTTTACCAGCTGCAGTTTTCGAATTTGCAGAATGGACTATGTGAGTGTTTTTTATGTAAGTAAATTTAACCTAACTGCGAAAAAATTATACTTACCACTTTTTTGATTTTTAGAACCAGTCATGAAATTTATCCAACGGATCTATACACAGCCTTTCCAGATCATACACATTTTTGTTATACTTGTCAAAAATGTTTTTGCTTTTGCGAAAATTCAATTAAAAAGCATACCTACATTAGAAGAAACGAACATAATCTACTCTGTCATGAACAAATGTTCGAGTCACCATAGAATTACTGTGTTTTATTTTCTTTGCGTTTAAATAAAATTTTACCGAAAAATTGTTGTTTCATTGAACTTCATCACCTGAGCCTGGGAACTTTGGCAACTGAACCTATACAGGTATCCGGACCTAGATGGCGCCTCATACGGCAGGTAGTGAGTGTACAATAGCCCCCGGGGGTATTATAGGCAACTGAACCTATAGATGGCGCATGCAGGCATGCTATAAGCTCCTCCGGAGGACGGAGGTTGCAGAACCGGCCATTTATATCTACTACCGGCAGTGTAAATATCCATGCATGTTTATCATCGATAAAATATAAATGCAAGTTTGAGCTTGTTGTTTTTGCTAGAACGGAAAGGCTTATCAGTTATAAGTAAAAATAACCGTGAAATATGATACCCCTGTTTACAACACAACGACATTGAACGTCGGCGGCGTGCTGATTTATGAATTTATTTTATTTACCACTACGGCATCCTGTAAAAGGACACAACGAACTTCAGACTATGTACGCTAGATGGCGCCACCGATAACATAATGACGTCGAAAAATTTGGGGTTGGCCCCGGGTCAAATCCCAGTAATTTCAGATCAAAGGTGCCGCCGATCTATAGATTTTCCCACGGTATCGAAAATTTTCCCAGGCTCAGGTCCCCTCATTACTACTTAACAACATTATCCCACGATGCCAACGATATGATGCCACTGACGCCAGCCCATTTTTTGATTGGGGATTCCTTAGCTAGCATGCCCCAACATAACATATTGGATCAAAATACTAACAGGCTCTCCAGATACCAGCATCTACAACAAATGTTGCAAAGTTTCTGGTCTCGTTGGTCACGAGAATACCTAAGTCAGCTCCAGGCTCGCTCAAAATGGTTAATAAAACTCCCATGTAATCTACAAGCTGGTTCCATTGTGATTATGTTGGAAGACAATCTGCCCCCTCTACGATGGCCTATGGCAAAGGTGATTGCTTTACATCCCGGTGCAGATAACATTGTGAGAGTGGTATCAGTGAAGTTATCTAGTGGAACTATTGTGAAACGATCACTATCAAAAATTTGTGTTTTACCTATTGATACGACTGTCTAAGAATTTAATTTCCTCTCAAAAGTTAGATTTTCTCGAAAATTTTAGAAGAGATGTACGTTGTTTAAAATTGCAATTTTTTGCATAAATTTTGTTCATTTTATTTAAGTATTTATCAATGTATAACTTTTTTGAAAAGTATACTTTTCAACGCGGGCGGCATGTTCCGGTGAGTAGGTATTTAATGAAAAAGAAAATCAAGAGCTGGAGAAGAAAAAACAAAACAGAAGTAACCAAGCAAATAAAAAACAAGTAGACGTCACTTTTTTGAAAAAATAGAAAAAAGTTTGAAACACGTTTGTCAATTTGCTCGCTGCCACGCATTTTTTTATATTATTTTTTTTTAATAAAACATTTAAGAAGCTCGTCTGCAGTCCACTGTTTTCCCTGAGCACAGGGTGGTCCTTCGCCACTTGAAATACACGCTAAAACAAAAGAGATTGCATTCGATTAAATTGCTTATCCAGCCAAAAACTGCATTATCAGCAATTTGCTGATCAGCAAAATAGGTACACCCTTTCGTAAATTGTCTGTGACGTCCATAAACGTTATGTCACAATGTCACATTACATCTACAGATAGATACACATTTAATGTGACACGACGTCCATGGTCGTCGTCCAAATGTTTACAATTTTTTTTTAAAACTGTTTTTTTGCATAAACTCTACGCTGAAAGAAATTGAGCACTTTCCCGATTCTACTTTGCAAAATACTTAGACTGTCACAACACTTTGCTTACATAATCGACGCACTGTCCATCAACGTGTTAAAAAAATTAAGAGCCTGGAATAAATAAAAATCGAGGGAAGAAAATAAGAAATAGAGTGCAAAATTATTATGGAATAGGTACCTATTTTGGGGCCGGCAAACTTGAACACCCTTCAAAGGCTTCAAATAACTTTAGAATTAGAAATAAAAAAATAATAAAATACTGAATACCTATATATCTAAGGAAATTCTAAAAGTAATAACGGCAACACCGAACCCAAGCGCATTCTCTGAATAAAATTCGAAATTCAAGGTGACCTCTAGGGCCCGCTGCCTTGCCTAAACAATTTTCAGTTGTCTTTGCCGGTCGCTCGTTATACACGGACAATTTAAGTTTAACTTAGAAATTTTAAGGGTGCAAAAATGTCTTCCGCGCCACAAAGCGACGTGGAAAGAAGAAAACAGATCAGTGTCAGGGGCATAGCAGAACTTGACGATGTAAACGAGATCAAAAAAACTTTCAACAGACACGTTCACTACACCCTGGTGAAGGACAGAAATGTTGCTACCACCAGAGATTATTATTTTGCCCTTGCTCATACAGTGAGGGATCATCTGGTGTCTAGATGGATCAGAACTCAGCAGCATTACTATGAGGTTGATCCTAAGGTAAGCATTTTTTTTTTTTTATTGGCAACAATAATGTTATATTATGTAAATAATTAATATGCCAGGTGCCAGAAAAAAGCATACAGGATGTTTTTGAATAGTGGGATTAAACTTCTAGAATAAACATTGAAATAAGAAAAAAGTTAATATAGAAACATGGGCCCGCCAATGCTCAGTTTTCAAGATACAGGGTGTCAAAGTTTGAAAAAAAAAATCGATTTTTTAAAAAACTTTGTAGGTTCGTTAATTTGTGATAACAAAAGGTATCCTTTGACTGTAATATGACTTGAGGAAAATTTAAAAAAATATTAAAGTTAAAAAAAATAGTAACATACCTACCTATAATGTCTTTTTTTTCTGAGGAGCCACTGAAATAATAAGGTGAATCTAATTGAGTCAAAAGTCAAAAGATACCTTTTGTTATTACAAACAAACCTGCCAAGTTTCAAAGAAATTCGGGAAACGGATTTTTGAGCTAAAATAACGTTTTTTTTTTCAAATTTTGACACCCTGTATCTTGCCCTCTAGTTTAGTAATTGCTAATATTATTAGCAGCAAAAACTTTTTTTTTATACGAGTCATCAGACTGTCAAAGGTAACAATCCAACTTATAAAATTCTCAAAAACTAAGCATTTGCGGACCTATGCTTCTATCAATTTTCATTTTATTTTTATGAGTTCTATTTATCCTAGAAGTTTGATCCTACTATTCAGAAACACCGTGTGTGTCTGGTTATAATATAACACCCCACCCTGTAGCCTCAACTACAGTGGCTTTATGCCTTAACCTTCACAGGTAGATGATAGATGTAAATACAAAAGTTGTGCAGTTTTTGCTGAATTTTTAGATTTCATTGGCAGAAACAGAAATGTATTGTCAGAAATTTGAAATATTGCCTACAGGGTGATCTATTATTTATTTATTGATCAACAATAGTATCCTTAAATAATAACAAAAATACCCAATATTATTTACCTATACTTAACACTATTGCCTAATGTGCGTGCACGATGGTATTTGAAATACTGTGTGTGCCCCTTTTTTCCTATATCAGTCTATCCCTTGAGGTTCCTAATTTGACTCACTTATATATACAGTGTCATTACTTAAGTGTGCAACATATGGAATTTTTTTTTAGTAATAGCACAATCAAAATACAAACAAGGCCAAAAGTTGGTGCATGTCTGATAATCATATTAGGTGCACTTAGAATGTTTGCAAGTGAAACAGCATACAGGGTGGCTCAAAAAATATCAAAATTCTACTAATATTTACTTAAATAAAATAAAACTTTTGCACTTTAAGGAGAGTTTTTTTAATATGGCTATTATCATAAGTAATCTTTTAACTTGTTAAAAAAAAAAAATTGCGACATTTTAAAGTTATGTTGAATATCATTGCAACAAACATGAATTTTGTGATTCCATAAAAAATTAAAAATCTAAGTTAATTTTACAAATATGCTTGAATTTGAGCAAAGTTATGTAAAATTGATTTGATTTTAATTAATTTCTGAAAGTCTCAAGGGCGGAAATAAAAAATAAAAAAAATATAGAAATTAAAGATTTTTTTCGAAAAAAAATAAAAAAAATCTTAGGAGGCTATGTTTTGGTATTTATAGAACTTGAATATCAATTTTCTAATCTTGCTTGTAATATAGATAAGATGCTCTTTCCTTTGGTCTAAATAAATTCCTAAGTATTTTAATGAAGTTTTTCTTTCTATATATTTTATTGCATATGCAGGTTTGAGCTAAAGTGCAATCATAGTCATGCAGAGTTAGGCTTTGATAATCTGGTAATGAACAGGAGGAAAGTGAAAAAGCGACAAACTTTGTTTACCGGTGTGAAGTTAGCACGCCGGCTCCAGCACGCCAAAGAATAAAGTGAGCACGCCATTAGAGCACGCCAAAGTGTAAAAAGTTAGCACGCCGCTCGAGCACGTCAAAAAGTAAAGTTAGCACGCCGCTCAAGCATGCCAAAGTGTGAGTTGGCACGCCATTCTAGCACGCCGCAATTTTTTTCCTTTCATTCACGTAAGATGATGTTTCACGTTCAAATTTGGTGGGATGCTTGCTCAAGGGATGCTTTATCATCCCTCAAAAGGAAAATTCCTTACAAGCCGTCGAACTTAGGAAAATCAGCGCTTATATGGAAAAATAATGAAAATTTCATATTTTCCTATTTTTTCTTCAGACTCCTAGATGGTGTTTCACGTTCAAATTTGGAGGGATGCTTGCTCAAGGGATGCTTTATCATCCCTCGAAAGGAAAATTCCTTACAAGCCGTCGAACTTAGGAAAATCAGCGCTTATATGGAAAAATAATGAAAATTTCATATTTTCTTATTTTTTCTTTAGACTCCTAGATGGTGTTTCACGTTCAAACTTGGAGGGATGCTTGCTCAAGGGATGCTTTATCATCCCTCAAAAGGAAAATTCCTTACAAGCCGTCGAACTTAGGAAAATCAGCGCTTATATGGAAAAATAATGAAAATTTCATATTTTCCTATTTTTTCTTCAGACTCCTAGATGGTGTTTCACGTTCAAATTTGGAGGGATGCTTGCTCAAGGGATGCTTTATCATCCCTCGAAAGGAAAATTCCTTACAAGCCGTCGAACTTAGGAAAATCAGCGCTTATATGGAAAAATAATGAAAATTTCATATTTTCCTATTTTTTCTTCAGACTCCTAGATGGTGTTTCACGTTCAAATTTGGAGGGATGCTTGCTCAAGGGATGCTTTATCATCCCTCGAAAGGAAAATTCCTTACAAGCCGTCGAACTTAGGAAAATCAGCGCTTATATGGAAAAATAATGAAAATTTCATATTTTCTTATTTTTTCTTTAGACTCCTAGATGGTGTTTCACGTTCAAACTTGGAGGGATGCTTGCTCAAGGGATGCTTTATCATCCCTCAAAAGGAAAATTCCTTACAAGCCGTCGAACTTAGGAAAATCAGCGCTTATATGGAAAAATAATGAAAATTTCATATTTTCCTATTTTTTCTTCAGACTCCTAGATGGTGGTTCACGTTCAAATTTGGAGGGATGCTTGCTCAAGGGATGCTTTATCATCCCTCAAAAGGAAAATTCCTTACAAGCCGTCGAACTTAGGAAAATCAGCGCTTATATGGAAAAATAATGAAAATTTCATATTTTCCTATTTTTTCTTCAGACTCCTAGATGGTGTTTCACGTTCAAATTTGGAGGGATGCTTACTCAAGGGATGCTTTATCATCCCTCAAAAGGAAAATTCCTTACAAGCCGTCGAACTTAGGAAAATCAGCGCTTATATGGAAAAATAATGAAAATTTCATATTTTCCTGTTTTTTCTTCAGACTCCTAGATGGTGTTTCACGTTCAAATTTGGAGGGATGCTTGCTCAAGGGATGCTTTATCATCCCTCAAAAGGAAAATTCCTTACAAGCCGTCGAACTTAGGAAAATCAGCGCTTATATGGAAAAATAATGAAAATTTCATATTTTCCTATTTTTTCTTCAGACTCCTAGATGGTGTTTCACGTTCAAATTTGGAGGGATGCTTACTCAAGGGATGCTTTATCATCCCTCAAAAGGAAAATTCCTTACAAGCCGTCGAACTTAGGAAAATCAGCGCTTATATGGAAAAAAAATGAAAATTTCATATTTTCCTATTTTTTCATCAGACTCCTAGATGGTGTTTCACGTTCAAATTTGGAGGGATGCTTGCTCAAGGGATGCTTTATCATCCCTCAAAAGGAAAATTCCTTACAAGCCGTCGAACTTAGGAAAATCAGCGCTTATATGTAAAAATAATGAAAATTTCATATTTTCTTATTTTTTCTTTAGACTCCTAGATGGTGTTTCACGTTCAAATTTGGAGGGATGCTTGCTCAAGGGATGCTTTATCATCCCTCAAAAGGAAAATTCCTTACAAGCCGTCGAACTTAGGAAAATCAGCGCTTATATGGAAAAATAATGAAAATTTCATATTTTCCTATTTTTTCTTCAGACTCCTAGATGGTGGTTCACGTTCAAATTTGGAGGGATGCTTGCTCAAGGGATGCTTTATCATCCCTCAAAAGGAAAACTCCTTACAAGCCGTCGAACTTAGAAAAATCAGCGCTTATATGGAAAAATAATGAAAATTTCATATTTTCCTATTTTTTCTTCAGACTCCTAGATGGTGTTTCACGTTCAAATTTGGAGGGATGCTTGCTCAAGGGATGCTTTATCATCCCTCAAAAGGAAAATTCCTTACAAGCCGTCGAACTTAGGAAAATCATCCCTTCAATGCAAAATGAATAAGAATGTCTCATCAGGGTTGCTAAAAATTGTGCCCAGGAATTTATATTTTATTGGTACCATCATAAACCACGATACAATAGCAGTTTTTTAAAGGGGACGATGGAATAGGGCAAGCTGTGGCAAAATATAGGTATAGCAGAACAATGTTGCCAAGTAATTTAACAGAAACAAAGTCTTTCAAAATTTTTTTAGGAATCGGAAGGTTTATTATTTGTAAAAAAACGTTTCAAAACGAAACTAGGCTGATAATATATAATTTTGTCTACAAACGTCAAAAAATAACAAGGTTCGCGCATTGATTGTAGCTGTTTACGGAAACTATGATCGGGTTAGCCGATCACCAGCTGACATACTTTGTCTTTTTTCAATCGTATTCATTGAAACAAAATACAAAACAAACAGCTAGTGATCAGGTTAACCTGATCATGGTTTCCTCTAATTCGTGTACGCTTTTTTTATGAATACAACTGTACCTAGTGAACGAAGAAAAATCGAAAAAACCAGTTATTTTCAAATTTTAGGCAGTTAGGTATCTAATAACGCGAAAATCTCTCGGGACCATCCTCTGTGCTATTCGCGAATCGATCTAAAAGAGTCTACAAATTGAGAAGTTACTCTAATTGTAGACCAATATCAAGTGAAATCGATCGGAAAAACTCGAGGAAAAACGTTTCGAAATTTTCATTTTTTCTGCTGAGTCTTCCTTTATACCGAT